TAGAATTAATGATATATTAAAAATAATTCTGAAACATTTCACATGCGAGAATCTATTCAACAAATGATCTAACCTTCTTGTTTTTTTTTCAAGGTTCACATGTTACTATTTTAAGAACATATATATTGACTAGTATTCTGACGTAATAAACACAAGAGAAAAAGTAAACTGCGCGTTTGTTTCAGTTTCAACATCATCATCGAAAGAACGAATAAAATTGGGTGTGTTGTGTTATTTCTTTTCTTATTAAACAATCATGAGTTACAAGAACACACACACACGTATATGTATTAAAGAACAATACTTATCATTGTGGTTCTTAACTGTCGAAGAACACTTAAATTTTTTTCGTTCTGTACCTTTTTTTATGTTTTGTTTTGTTTTTTCGGAAATGATATGAATATAACATCGTATAATCGTGATGTAAATTTAACATCATTAATTCTTGAAGGAATAAATGAAAATGAAATAATTAATAGTACAATAACAACAATTACAACAAAAACAACAATAAAATTAACAACAACAAGTATATTTCTTCGTTTATTTAATTCAACAAGAATATTTCCTTATTTACGTCAACCATTATCAACATCATCATCATCATCATCATCATCATCAACATTATTAAATAAATATTTTATATTAAAAACACAATTTCATATTATAATGCGTGTTGCTGAATTATGTATATTAAGTTTAACATTACCATTATATGCAATTGCTTTTATACTTTTTATTCAATTAACTGTATTACGTATAAATAGAAATACAGCTATATCTGGTGGTGGTTCACGTAGTCGTAGTCAACGACGTCGACAACGTATGCGTAGTCTTATATGGACATCAAATTATTTACTTGTTGATTTTGTTAATCTATTAAATGAACTTGCTTATGTTATTATACATACAACAGGTCAATTATCACTTAAATCTTTAGGTGGACGTTTTTATTGTCAATTACAAGTTTATTTACCATTATATTTAACTGTACTTATGGCATATAGTTTAACAGCTATATCAATTTATCGTCGTCGTCATTTTGTTAATTTAAATAATCAATTAGTACGATCAAATAAAACAAATATTATAATGATTATTACATTATGGATTATGCCAATAATAACATCAATTATTCCAACTTTTTTATTAGTATATTTTAATATTTTAAAAATAACACAACATGAAACAACAAATCAATGTCAAATTTCATATATATATGAATCAAATGTTGAAGCTATTTATATATTTTATAGACTAGGTAAAAAATCAAAACTGAGAAGATATTTTAAACGAAATTATTAGTAAAATTTAAATGTAGAATATATAATAAAACTATTCTTATTATATCTTTTTAAAAGAACTGAATTATTTAAACAAATCAGTTCTTGACATATAACAGCTCTGACTTCTATGAACTTATTCTGTTTTTGAAGACTAGATATAATGATCAATTCTTTTTTGATAACTAAAATAAATTACTTTTCATCAAAATTAGTCGAAATTAAGATAAATGCATGGAAAGATAATCCATGATTTGATCTTTTATAAACGATAAAAATTTTTAACTCGGTATTTCGTTTTTTTTTCGAAAATAAGCTGTTTTCTGAAAAAGCAGAAAATCTTTTTGGTTTTTTTCTCTCTCCGTGTATTGTTTCTTGATCGTGTAATCCAAATTTCTCCATCAATAATCATCCTATATATTTAATTATTTTGCACGTCAAGACGCAGTGCAGTACAGAGCATTGTTTTTGATTAAACAGCTTTGCTGTTACTATATATACAAACATTTATATAATTAGAGCGTCATTTTTCGAGTCATTGAACTTTCGATCCTTTTTCTTTCCTTAAAAAAGGGCGTTGTACTGCACTGCATTCTGACATGCTCTTGCAAATAAAAACAAAATTAAATATATAGAATGAATTGAAACAGAGAAATTTGGTTTACCAAATGAGCTATTTTTTATCAATATCTCCTTCAAAAGTCATGATATTGGGCTGAAAATTTCATGCCATTTGAACGTTCCTGGACTGAAATCAGTTTTTTGAAGAGAGGGGCCTTAAGGAGAGATTAGTTGATTGTAAAACTAGCAACTTCCTTTCTAGAGATGTAAATGTGTGAATGAAATTTGCTTTTATACATGAGAAAATTTTGAATATTGAATATCTCAGGATAAGAAATACTAGTTTCACAATCAACTAATCTCATTGAGAATTTTGTTCATGCAAACTTTGAAATCAAAAATCGATTTTTCACATGACTACAGCCTTTTTATTGAAAAACTCAGTACAATTTCGATATTATCTCAGGAACGAAAGCTTGGAAAGCCAAACTATTCTAAATTTTTCTATTACTCATCAAATGAAATTAATAAAAATTTTCTAGATCTTAGAAATAAGATTGGAATCAAAAAAGAAAAGACTCTTGTGCATATCGTTATTCACAAAGATACTATTTTATTACATCATAATGATATTTCCACTCATATTTTATGTTTCTTTCTTCGGAGTGTTATGTATGTCTTTTTCAATTACCTATCTTATTATTTTTCAAGCTGTATGATCGACTTTTTACTTTTATAAACTAGATAAAAACTATATGAAAGATTTGTGTCGATGATAATAATAATAATAATTAAATTAGCATCTATCTTTTTTTTTGTTCGAATAAGAGTAAACATTTCTTTGATTTTTCTTTAGGTAATATATTTCTTTTGCCAATATCAATATCATTAGCTTGTTATATAAGAATTTATGTTGATTTAATACGTATGCAACGACGTTTTACTCGAGTATTTAAACGTCATGTACATATACGAAAAAATCTTATATCACAAATACTTTTTTTATTTCTTAATTTTGCTGTTTTTTGGTTACCTGCTGAAATTATAATGCTTTATACAAAATCTCATCCACTTAAAGATGCTATACAAGTAACAAAATCTTTGAATATTCTTCTTGATCCATTAATTATTGCTGGTTTTGATACACGTTATTCATCAGCTGGTCAACAATTATTATCACGATGGCCTTTTAATCAATTTGTATGTCTTTTTAATATTATTCGTCGATATAGTACTTCAACATTAACATCAACAACAATAAGAAATCGTTTAACACAATTACAACAACCAATGAATCAACAAATAGCAACAGTTACTACATGGAATATGGCTAATAATGATGATATTACTGTTTTAGAATCAGTATCAAATCATTCTTTACAAGTATTAAAAACAAGACGACATCAACAACGATCACCATTATCATTAAATCAACGTCAATTATTAAATCGACGACCAAGATCAAGACAAAGACACATGCAAATAGCTGAAAATCATGTTTAAATTTTATATTTACTTATTGATGAATATAAAAAAAAATAATAATAATAATTTAAAAAATAAATGTGCCAAATCATAAATAGCATCAAGATAAACTTTATAAAGAAAAATAGATATATTTCTGTATAGTTTTTTCGTTTATTATGTTGATTATCATCAAACTATTATCTATTTCAAATAGATCAGTTCGAATCTACAAAATCAAATACTACCATTCGATTCAGCATGATGAACTACTTTCCTGTTTAGTTGCTTTTGCGGGTGATCATAAATCAATTGACTGAAATCAGAAGTCTCAGAAAAAGTCTTATAACTCTCGAATAGAACAAGCTAGGTATGTCGACCTTTTGTAAATCAAAAGGAAAAGTAGCTTCAAAATATTGTTTTCAAAAATCCTGTATCAAGAGTTCGCCTGATTGATCAGACCAATCAAATTGCGAGGACCACGGGTCTTCTCTCCTAAAGAATGAAAATCGCATGATGCGATTGTTTATGTGAGAGTTTTGCTTTTTTCCAAGTCTTAACAAAAGATTAACAAAAAGTCGAAGTATCTTTCAAAGGGGCTCCCCTTAAAAATGAAATTTTTTTCGAGTATCCAATCTTGATGAAATTTTCACTGGAGATGCATTTCGAGTTAAACATCTCACAGTAAAAATTTCAGCTTGATATATTGAGTCTAAAATGAGTTACCTTAAGATCATGGGTCAAAATTTACGTTTTCGTGCGTTCCAAATTTCTCTGCCATTTCAAATGCTAGAAAGTTTGGACTGGTATTTTAAAATATAGCCAAGATATGGCACTACAACTTAACAGAGCTCGACTTTCTCTTAGCTTCTGTTTTTAGAAAACTCGTTTGATCAAAAATATGAAAAATCCAAGGAATGTAAGTCCAGAACAGTTAGTTTTTTATAAATATTAATAAATAAATCGAAAAAATTCGATTTTGTTAAGTTGTAAAGCTAACTTTTGCTTTCATTTTGACATCAAGCACAGCTTTCTAACATTTTTAATGACAGAGAAATCTGCGACGTACGGAAACGTAAAAATCAAAAACCTTATTTTGAGAAAAAAACGTTATTTTCTTCTGTGGAAGGTTCAGAAAAACCTATGTAATATCATTAAACCTCATCATAAAATCAATAAACTATAGTACATTCGAAATTAAACATTGTGCTCTATCTAACGAGCTATAAATCACAAAATCGACAAATTCGTCAGCTTTTTGAATGCCTCCTTAGTATTGTCCACTTGAGAAAACAATCGATTCGAATATTTTTTGGTACCTGCGAAAAAGAACTTATAGAGATTAACACAAGCCTATTGGTTTTGCTATTCAATCTTATTTTTTGAGCCTTTAACGAATTCGTTCACTAGTCTCGAACAATATTATACAGTTTATTTCAAAGTGAGAAAAATTTAGCTAAAAGTAAGCAAATTGAAAATTCATATGACTAATATAGTAGCTTATAGTTTCATATAAAAAACAAAAAAAATAAATAAGATAATGGATTTTACAATGATGTCTTATTTTTTTTACATTGGATAGAGAACAAAAAAGTACTTTTCTTAATTCAATCATCAATCGATTTTTTTCTTTCTTTCTTATCAATAATCATTGAAACAAATAAACAGCTCGCATTACTATAGTCGATTACAATGTCATCGAATAAAAATTTTCAAGTTTATTTAACTGGTGGTTTTGCTGCTATAGGTGGTCTTCTCTTCGGTTATGATACTGGAGTCATTTCAGGCGTTCTTACAATGTCAGATTTTCTTCTGGCATTTGGTGGCATCGCAAGTATCACACGTGGTTCATTAATAAGTTCTGTATCAGGTTCTATTGTGGGTATTATGCTTGTTGGTTGTTTTGTTGGTGCACTTTTAGCAGGTCCAGCCGGTGATCATTTTTCACGAAAATATTCCATAGTAATTTTTTCCATTGTTTTTATCATTAGTGCTATTTTACAAACAGGATCATTTAATTTATTCATGTTGCTTCTATCTCGTCTTGTTGCTGGTAAGATATTAAAAACTTGCAGAAAAACAACAATTTTTTTCTAATAATATTATAGGAATATCGGTTGGTGCATTATCAATGCTTGTACCCGTATATCAATCAGAAATAGCAACGAACAAAATTCGTGGACGTCTTGTATCACTTCAACAATGGGCTATAACAATTGGTATTGCAATTAGTTTTTGGATTAATTATAGTAAAAAAAAAAAAAAGTTTTAATTGACGATTGTTTTTATTTATTGATTATTTTTTAGGTACAAATATATATTTTTTGGTAGTAGTGCTGCATGGCGTATACCATTAGCATTACAAATTGTTCCAGCATTAATACTTGCTATAGGTATTATATTTTTTCCATTTTCACCACGTTGGTTAATGACTCAAGATCGTGATAATGAAGCATTACGTGTTTTAATACAAATTTGTTCAACTTCATCAATTAATGTACTTGATGAATATAATGATATTAAAAATGAAATTGATTTTGAACGTGAAAAATCAATTAAATTATATTCACAATTTTTTTATCCACCATTACGTCGTCGTTTAATACTTGGTATAAGTATACAAATTTTACAACAACTTACTGGTATTAATTCTGTTATGTATTATGCACCGGAAATTTTTAAACAAACTGGCTTAAATGATCTACGTGCATCATTACTTGCAACAGGCATTAATGGATGTGTAATTATTCTTGCAACAATACCAGCTATTTTATTTATTGATAAATTAGGTCGACGTTTTATATTAATTAGTGGAGCAATAATTATGGCTTTATCAATGTTAATTATTGGTGGAACAATGAGTGCACATGGATCAACATATTTTAATGAAACAACAGATGCTATACAATTTACTATACCAAATCGATAAGCATCTTATGTTATTATAAGTTTTGTTTATATATTTGTTGCAGCATTTGCATTTAGTTGGGGACCAACTGCTTGGGTTTATTGTACAGAAATATTTCCATTAAGTATGCGTTCAAAAGGTACATCATTAACAACAGCTGCTAATTGGGCAACAAATTGTATAGTTTCATTTCTTGTACCGGCATTTCTTGAAAGTCTTACATATAATACTTATCGTATATTTGGTAGTTTTTGTGGTATTATGAGTATTTTAATATATTTATTTTATCCTGAAACAAAAGGAAAAAGTTTAGAAGATATGGATCTTGTTTTTGGTCGATCTGTATTTGTTTTTATACCAGATGAAAAAAAAAGAAAAATTTGATACTCAAATGAAATATGCAGAAACAAATGAAATTAATAATAAAATTCAAACATATTCACATAATCAACCTATACAAATTTATCATTTTTGAATTTAGTTAATGAAATGATATAGAATATTTTGCATGCTGTTTTTTTTTATTTCTATTAGGTTAGAATGTAATAAGATCATTTGAGATTTTATTTTCATGTTCTATTGTAACTGTTTATTTACAAGATTAATTCTGATTTAATAAAGAAATAATCTCGGACAATAATAAAAAAAAACGAAATTTGAAACTTAACAGGATAATGAAGCAGAGATGGTCATGGTGGCGCTGTCGATACCACCGCACCGGAACTTTTTTAAAAATCACTGCGGCGTGGAAGATATTTCAAGAATACCATCGCAGCAATGGTAGCTTCTTTTCTACTGAGATTGTAAAATTGGATGAATTTGCACTCAATTTTAGTGTCTACAAGTCCAACAGTTAGAATTGAGATTGAGTCTGATGGATTCAATCCAACTATGCTAATTTGACACAGTGGCAGAAGAGATTTTGGTAGAGTTTCTCGAAAATCATCGCTGCAGCGGCGCTGAACCTTGTCCCTTCTAGAATCGCGACAGACTTCTAGCCGTGATGGACATCTCTGCTTTGAAGTCATACAAAGCTTGGACGGACGGATTTGTACTTAAACTTAAGTATATAAATCTGTACTTTGTCCGTTTACTTGCAATATGAAAACTAATTTATGTCTATTTGTGTATTGGAAGTATCTTTCACTATTTCCATCAACGAAACATATTTGAAATATTAAAGCTTAGTTGATTAAGTAATTGAACCTTCTATTAAACACATACATGAACTTGATAAAAATTAAAACGAATTTGGGGTTTCTGATTATTTTTGGAAATTTAAGACACTTTTATAGAAAACATTTTTTTATATTTCCGACGTATTGTATGAAAAATAAAAGATGTTCAGCTTAGAAACAATTAAGTCGGATGACTTTCAGATGGGTTTATAGGTTTCTGTTAAAGCAGATTTTCATCATAAACGTATTAAATTTTTGAAATTATTAGTCACATATCAACGGTATTTATTTTAAGTTCTATATCATTAGAAAGAATTATTGGTTTTAACGTAAACTTTCAGAGAGGTCTAAGATCTAGTTAAAAAATCCTATTGATGATTCGAAAATGTAGCGAAGCAAGAATCTGTTCTGATTTGTAGAGCATAGATCTTAGTTCACATAGATTCATCTTAGTGCCATCGAGAACTATATTTTTATCTATGACAGTAAGTCGAACGAGCATCATCACTTATCGATATTCATCATAATTTTAAAGAAATTCGAATAATTAAAATAGATGATTTTTTAATAATAAGTATCCTGCAGTGAATTTATCAGTATATGAAAGAAAAAAGATTCCGATAAAATATTCTTATATTCATTTACTTGCTGATCATATGATGTCACGATGGTCATAAAAAACGAATCAAAGGTAGTCAACTTTAAAGACGATGTTTATTATATTTATACAGCAAGTAAAAGTACTTGACACTTTTATAATTAAACACCTTATTCTGATGTTTTTCTCCTCTTTACTTTTGAGCATTGAATTTCTGTTCGGATTCATGCATTTTTGCATTCTCCTTCGAAAAACCCATCGCTACCGCGTCCTCATCGCCACGGCAGCAGCGGCGTGGTAGCACCCCCGTGGACATCTTTACCGTACTCATAAAGGTCGAAAATTTCAGATATTAATTAGTATAAGATTTATTCTATTGCATTATTTATTATATTTACATTTAAAGAAGTTGAGATATACCAAGGAAAGAAAGAAAGGAATACAACAAATGAAAAGAGAGTAACAATATCGAGAAGTTCTTTTATGTAATAGAATAGAGAAAACTTCCGTATGACGGTGTCACTACATCGCAGTAAGAGACATAGTACAATTTGAAAATTATGTCTCGTCTTAATTATTCACTATTTTAGGTAAAATTCTTTTTCTTTTTGATGACATCACTCATGACAGTCAATCCCACATTAATATTTAAAAAAACGAATAATAACGATAAACGAGAGTGTTTGTGCCAAAAAGAGTCTCTAATCATTTGACAATAACTAGAACCAATTGCTGTTAGATTTATATATCAATTAGAACCACATTGTGAGTCCACAACCATCATCTTCGATTGAATAATGAAGTTGTTTATCAAGACATAATAGGAGTATTTGATCACATAACTGTTTAATAAATTTTGTATGATCTTCAAATGTAGTTTTCATATCATCATCTAATGAGCTGAATTTTCGTCGAAAGTAAAAACCAAAATCTCTCAACGATGATGTTGCCTTCGCAATTATTTGACAATTTTTGTCCTCAACCGTTTTTGATAAGTCATACATAAACACTCGTAACGAACTCAATTCTGGCAAAGTTGAAAGAAAATGTAAAACTACTGGCCAATTTGGTAATATACAGTTCGGAAAAGTATGACAAAGAAGAATGTGAATAGAACGGATAGTTCTTGGAAATGAAGAGAAATAGTTGAGACAATTGACACTATTTAGAAGAGTTACATGGCGAAGAGCGGATAAATGTATATTAATAGGTCTATTATAATAGGACAAGTGCAGTGTTTCAATATAATTGGATAATGCCACATGAGGTAACAAGAATATAGGTGATGGCAAAGTTTGACCCGCTGCATCTGATGTACGAAGAGATAATTGAGCCATTGCCGTAGTATTGTGAGAAGGTATTTCAAACACTTGTACTTTGGTAATCCATCTATATGGAATATATTCGTGAAAGAATTCATCAAATGTCCATGGAAGAGTATACCACATATGATGGTAATAATGAAGTCCACGACTCTATAAATATATGAAATACATTGACATATTGTTAGATAAAAACTAAATTATTAAGTAAAGAACAATGATTTCCATTTCCTACATATTACATCTTGAAATAAAAGGCGATCAAAAATATAATCAAACAATAACTTACAAAAGGATCGCTATCAATGAGCCATTCTGATCTGGGAGACCAGTGATTAACAACGAATGTTGCACCAACAATTTCTCGTGAATGAAAACGATTTCCACGTGGTATACATGGTGTTACTTTGGTATATGGAGAACAATTCAGAAGATTAAATGCAAAATGAACATCAACATGACGATGATCAGTAAAGATTCCTGATGAGCTAATACAATTTAAATCATTAATATTAATAAACAGAGATACATTAGCACGTCGAAGAACAGGCATAACATTCGAAGATGTCAATATTTCAAAAACTGTCCATTCAATTGTTAACATTGAGAAAAATGTTTGAACAAGTGAAAATGTATGTAAATTAATCATTCGAATTGATAGATTAGACATTGACACAGGGCAATGACTGTTGAAATTACTATCACCTATGGTTATGTGTAATTGGCGTAATGTGTCGGAGAGTGGTTCTGTCGATATAAGACGCAATAAAATATCCATACTTAATAAAGAAAGACGCAGATAAGTGAGAGGAGCGACCGCAGTAGTAATGGGCCAACTTGTCCCGTAATAATTCATGCCCAAGTCAAGAGATCGAAGTGCAGGTAAATGAATAAGAAGAACATTATTTATTAACGTCACCATGTCGCCTAGTGGATAGTCAAATGTGATTGGAAAACCATCCTAAAAACCAGTATATAAATATCAACGTATTATTAGTGAAAAATAATGCTAAGTAGTCTTTTGAATCTCAGATTGAAAGTAATAGTACTTTGATTGAAAAAGAAATCAACAAAGTGAAGACTCTGTTCAAATAAATTTTTTAATAGTAATTAATGTCAGATCTTTAGAAAGTTTCTTGATTAATAGAAAGTTTTCTCTATACCATTTATAATTGATGAAAATTTTTAGACTCTTGAAACAATTCTCATTCTATTCTACATTATCGCTAAACGAAATCTATTCTCTTCAATATTTTATCTCATGACGACTTTCATCTCTGTTATCTTTAAAAATGTGATCCTAATAATTATTCAAGCAAGATATTTTTCAAATATATTTCGAACTATTAGAGATAGTTTCACAAGTTTCACAATGAAATTGTTAGAAAATTAGAGCAAGCTTTGGTTGTTTTAATGATTCAACTTTCTTATATGATTGTTAACGTCAAATTCTACAGATATATTTTAGAATATGATACAATTTTTGATGAACAGATTAGTTCTATTTTCTTTTTCTCAATCAAAAGTCAAATAATTCCATACGATTGTTTGAAAAAAATCTCACACAGAATAAAAAACTATTTTATATTTTAACATATCAATGTAATAATAAACTTTAATAATTTAGTTACGTAAATCATAGTTTTAAAACTATTTTTTAATCAAATCCGTATTTGAATCAGATAACTTTTCAAATAATTTAACCGGATATTTTTTATTCTTTATTTTATCGATTTCGACAATCTGTATCGAAGGAAATTCAATCTAAAATAATCAATCTGTCTTTTTTGACTACATCTACTACAATTTTATTCGACTCAAATGTTGATCGGTCTAAAATTTTCAAATAATGAAAATAATTTATCTTTTATAGTCTATGCATACAAATTGGTCTTCTCTTAGCAACATTATAAAGGAATTTAACGTCACAACAATATTACCTTTTTAATTGTTACTTAAATGGTTCCACTCTATTGGAAACTTTCTCGCTTTCGGCACAGTCCTCACCCTCACGCAGTGTTGTGCGGTGTGTTAAACATACCAAAAAAGGAGTGCTGTGTTCAAATTGAATTAGGATCTCCTTTTGTAGAGTTTTACATGTATTAGAAACAAATGGGTGATAGTTACCGGTACCATTCTTTCGTTTGATTTTATGATGAGATGAGTGAGTGTTGCTGCATGAAGTATAACAAAATCTGAAAGATCATCATGATTGTATACACCGATGATACGTAGAGTTTTCAAACGAGATAAATAAGGCCAACGAGTTAATTGAAATGGAGATGCATCACTATCAATTGAGAGTGATTGAATATGATTCAATGGAAGAAAATCAACAATTCTATTAAATTGATGGTAACGTGCAAGGGATAAATTAATACGAGAAAAGAAACCTCGTTCAGTCATTAACATTGTTAGATGATGATTAAGATGAGTCAATCCCCAAAGAATGTCGTAAGATGATAGATACACAAACACCTCGATCAATACTAAATCGGGGAGATCGTCGAAACATGTAATCAACGACATATATTGATGCAAATAATTTTTTCTGCATTTTTTTCTAAGTATCTTCTCTTATTTATATTCAATGACAGACGACTTTTTGTTTTTTTATTCCTTTATATTAATCGATTGCCGTCAAATAAAGATTGAGAATATGTGTTGAATATGATCGTTACTACAGAAACTGTGAGATATAAACGAATATTTCTTTTTTTTTTCGTTCTATATTATTATACACAGTTCATTTTCAGAGATAACTGTTTAACGGTTCGACAAGAAAGTTATAGAATTATGAGAAAGAAAAGTAAATGTCAAACTTCATATTCATTACAATTATTAAGAAATATCCAAAATAGTTTATATAGTTGATATAAATGAGAGACTCATTTCAAGTACAGAGTTCATCAAGTAATCTACGAAGGAGCTAATATTATTTTCTTGAGTTTATTGACCATAAGGAAGAAGTTGTTATACTATTCGAAAAATTCAATAATCGTAAGAATCGATTTATCATTTTCTCTTGCGAATATAAAACAGTATGTATTTATATACTGCACATTGCTCTCATTGATTTCTATTCCCATCTACTGCTGAAGCAGAACTAAGAATAGGAGAAAAGTATTACAAAACTGAAATTTTATATTCAAAATTTCAATTAGGAATGAACAATTTTATTCAAACTGATGAAAACCAGCTGTAACACAAATTCAAAATCGAATTGAGACACAATAAACTGATCAACTTCGATCTTCGCATATAACAAATCCAAAGGAGACAATACTTTCGTTCTTGTTAACTTTAAGATTATTCATTAATCTTCAGAAAAATACTTCTTGATTGATGAAAAAGTCCCTTTGACCTCGTCTTGACTATCAAAAATTTGGTCCATTCCAATTACAAGTGTCATATTCCTACTATACCCTCTATCTCACGACCATCAATAAATTCTGTATTGGTTGAACTTTGAAAAAAATTGTGAATCGGATGGCATAGACGAATTGAAAGCTGGTCGAGTGGAAAGACCTATTTTATAAGAAATTAATTTTATTTTTAAGAACTCTTGGTATACTTTCATTCCATTGAATATGTGAGTCAGGTGTATGTAAATCATGTTGTGATGTATGTCGAAACCAGAGCTGCCGGCCTGGGCTGGTGCCTGATGGCCTGCCCGGCTAGGCTCTTGTCCGGGTTGAATTTTTGAACTTTTAGCCTGGCCTGATCCGGTCCATATTATTTACGGCCTGGTTTGCAGTCCAGGCCAGGCCAAGATTTTTGGTCTGGTTATAATTTTTTGGTTGATTTTTTTGCTTAAGAATAATAGATCTGAAATACAATGGTAGTAAAATTCAACAGTTTTTTATAAAAACTACAGCCTTTTGAAAACAAAATAATTTTAATAGAATAAAAGAGCTTGTCAGTATGCGGCAAGCTACCAATTTAACTCAAAGCAGTTCACTATGGAACGAGATTTCATTTTAACATTCGGTTTGTTGTCTGTAGATCGGTCAAACCGGTATACCGGTCGGTCCAGGGTCGTGTGAAGTGAGCCAAACATGCTAACCAGAAAATTGTGGTTCACTTCATATAGGGAAAATGGATCAATCAAAATGCGAGCCGTTACTTTACCGTCATCCAACCGTTTTCCCAAAACAGAACAACAATACTCACAAACCGGAAGTGTCATTCCCAACACAGAACAAACGTACTCATCTACCCAGAAGTGTTATTCCCATAACGGAACAAAGGTACTCAGTACCCGGAAATTCTATTTCCAAAACAGAACAATGATACTTACAACCGGAAAGTACTATTCCCATAACAGAACAAAAGTACTCACTACCCGGAAGTGCTTTTGTTCTGTTATGGGAATGACACTTCCAGGTAGTGAGTACTTTTGTTCTGTTGTGGGAAAGATACTTCCAGTGCTAGAGTACTATATATTTACAGTGGGTATAGTATGGACTAATGGACTCCACTTTGGCTCACGCCAACTTTGGCTCACTTCATACGACCTCGGTCCAGTCCAGTCTAAAACTTTCGGACCGATATCGGTACCGAACGGTAAAAAATTAGACCGGTTACATCTATGATTTCATGAACTCTTTAAATAAACAAAGAGTATAAAAACATTCGATAAATGGATTTAACAAATGCAATTATGTGCAGATAACTAAGATGATTATTTCGAACACTTGATGAAAAACGTGTTGAATTTGTTTCTGTATTCCTTTTTTGTTCTATCGTTACTACTTTTGTGTATTCTTATATATATATTAGACAGTTAAGCATTCAAAGAAATAAGAAAAAAGAATACAGAAAAGAGAGAAGTAGAACAAAGAGAAGATCAAAATAACAATACACATTGAAGACAATATAAACTAATGTTATCGTTACATATCATAGGTAAACAAGTGTAATGGAAATTTTATTATTATGATATTAGATGAATAATGATCGAATAGTGTAGAAACGTAGAGCTTTGTTTTTTACTAATAGTCTATATAAAAAGAAAATTTCTTCAAGACGTCTATACAAAATTGAGAGAGGATTGTTACTACTTTTGGTATGCCCGAAGCATTTTCTTCATGATTTTTCAGCCATGACATGAGTAATTTCATAAAGAAAATATCAATACTATCCAATGAAATAAACATGATTAAGTCATCAAAAAAAAAAAGAATTGTTTTTTTCAGTAACCATTCCAAGTTGTTTTTATAGTGCACATACTTATTACTCAAAAGTAAGTACGACATATAATGGAACTTTTTTAAATACACAATTAGAACGAACATTCAACATAAATTCTTAGTAGGCATCTTGAAGTTTTCCTTAATTGAAAAACTAACTAATCTTTTTCTAGGAATGTTAATAATAGGTAACTATCAAATGAAACGAAATGAAGTGAGTAATCAATTTATTATTTTTGTTTTTATGATAGATGACGACCTCTATCGATTATATCTACGATGAAAATGAATGAATGTTGCTGTGAACATACAAAAACAATATTAGTCATCCATTACAATTCAAATTATCTATTGCTTGTAGATTATCAACTATTTCGATATTCATTTATGATTGAATCGAATATTTTATTTTTCTAATTGACAAATATTATCAATTAAAATGGATTGGAAATCCAATATTGTTTGTCAATTAAAAGAT